TAGCATCATCAAGGACTGCATGAATCTGCAAAAGAAGGAAGAAAATATAAGTACAAGCTTGAAACAAAACTATAAAATGATGAAACTAACCTTCAGTGGTCCAAGACGAGGTTTTCTAAGATGTTTCCAATTCTTCTCATCACTACTCTGCTTTTCAAGAACTTGATTCTCACTCACCTTGGCAGGAGACATTTCTTTCTCAGCATCCTCGATCAAAACTTCAGCCCCAGGTGCTGCAAGCATAGCCTTTTTCTGGGGCAAAGACTTAGCCTCAGTATCAGGTGCCCGTTTCTTCTTGGAGACCAGAGTCACGGGATCTGAAGGGGTGATCACATCATCAACTGCAAGATCACAAATCCTAATCAAGTCACCCACATGATTCTCGAGGTAGTTACCATGAACTTGGCTCCACCACTCTTTATACTCCAAGGAGAAATACTTCGCTGGAATAGTAGGAGGAGTCGGAAATACCGTTTCAGCTTGTGACATGCCGTGCTCAAACTGTAGCCAAAGCTGAAAGCCAGCAGCAAGTGTGACACTCCGATTACGCATCTCAAGAAAGCCAGAAGCATAAGCCTGAAAATACCCAAATTGGCGACTAAAGTGGCGAGGAGTGTAAGGCTCAGCAATGCAATGATCCCGGTAGAGTAATACAAGATAATTCGACCGAAGACTCCTAAAAAGCGCCAACTCAGCCTCTGGAGGATTTTTACCATCGAAGAATGAATATTCTTTGATTCTCCGATGTGTAGAACACACCCATGCTGATACATCTCCCTGGAAAATTCGTTTGCGCGCACTTCTCTTCTCGAGGGATCTCGCTCCACCTTCTCCTGAATAAGAAATCATTAATGGCGTCGTGGACTGGATCTCATTCTTAAAATGCGTATCAAAGTATGATGCCAACCATCCATAAACGTAGTGAACGGGAAAACACGTTCTAACTTGATCAGGAGCTGGAGCATTCGAGATCCGATTAAGCCCATGATAGACACTTGCAAGAACCGGGACCACAAGGCATACACGTTTCCCTCGAGCCAACATACACGCAACTCTGAATGTTTCCGGGCGGATAACTCTAGGACCTTCATGCAGCAATACAAATGCGCAAAGCCAACACGATAAAAATGCCGCTAAATATACCTCTTCCTCATATTCAGCAGGAACCTTGAGTACGTGGAATGGTACCCTCATAGAATTCGACCATCCTCCAAATTTTGGAATAGCTCCGCTCGGATTATGGGTCGCCTTGGCACGAGATGTTCGTTTCTTTTCTGTTCTCACTGGAGGCATAGTATACTTGGAGGCCTTTCTGAACCAGAATTTGACCCACGCATGAACACGCAAAACACGCTTATCTCCGGCTTTGGGAAAGAGATGATGATATGCGTGAAACAAATATTTGCAGAGATGAAATAAACGGTCAGCGCTCGTATTTAACAACTCAGAAGTGCCCAGAATAGATTCATCATATGAGTCTCCGATGATAGGCAATCCTCCGATAACGTGCAAGTCCCAAAGTGTGATCGTCAATTCGCCAATTGACGTAAGCAAAGTATTCGTCGTGGGACACCATGCCTCACAAAATGCTTGAATAGCATTAGTACATCGGTCATACGTGAATAATGAGGCATAAACAGCATCGTAAATAAGCCCTTCCTCCAGAACGCTTTTACTCATGCCCAAAATATCTTCGGCCCAGTCCCAATAACCTGTGATGAATTTAAATTCACCACCAAATGATAAGGTCTTTGTCAAAGGGGCGTTTTCATCAAGGATACGTCTACCCAAAGAAGGAAGAATCTCAGAAGAGGACATGTGAGTAAAGCCAGATACTAAAGTCCGCATTGTCTGAGCTTGATACTCGCACTCAGGAGTCCAGTTCGTAACTCGATAGGACACAACCGTTGGACTCTAAAACTCGCGAGCAAATGGCTTGTGCATCTCCAAAAGAATCTCTTCGTCATTCTTCTTGCTCTTGATATAGAGAGATACTTTTTGCCTCCACGCCTTACGTCCTTAAAATATATCATTTTGGACTGCAAAAAAAAATCATCATTATTCTTATTATTATTACTAAAAAAAATAAAGTACTAATAATAATAATGATAAATAAATAAATAAAAAAAAAATAGAGGCCGCTCAGCAATGATAATCAATCTCAAGCCCGAGCAATTTCATCTTCCGCCTAGACGAGCAAAGAAATCAGTAACACTGGCCAATAATTAGTCAAGCTCCTTCATAATGGACAAAGGTCGAAAATAGCGGCAACATCTCAGTCTTCAACAGGTGCAATTAGCCGAATTCTCTAGATTGGTGCCACTAGCCCAACGAAGGGCCCCAAGTGACACCGATGATCGGTAATTAGATTAATTCTTTAGATCGGTGCCACTAACCTAACGAAGGGCCCCAAGTGACACCGATGATCGGTAATCAGCCTAATGCTTTAAATCGGTGCAACTAACCCAACGAAGGGCCCCAAGCGACATCGATGACTGGCGATCAGCCTAATTCTTTAGATCGGTGCCACTAGCCCAACGAAGGGCCCCAAGCGACACCGACGACCGGCAATCAGTCTAATTCTTTAGATCAGTATCACTAGCCCAACGAAGGATCCCAAGCGACACCGACGATTGATAATCAGTCAATCTCCTCCCTCTTCAACAAATGGCGCCACGATCAAATCATTAAGATAGCAAAAAAAAATGGGGGGGGGGGGGGGGGGGGGCTTGGAAAATTTTGTGCAGCCCAAGTCTAAAAGAGGAGGAATCCAACAAGCCCAACAATTAGAGTGGATATTCTCCCTCAAGCCCATCATCTTCTTTAAGCGCAGGAGAAATTAGAATCTGCAGCAACCCAGCGCCTCTCTCCAACGAGCGAAAAAAAAGAGCAGCAGCGAAACCTTCTTCTCCGATGGCGAATCCTTCTTCCCCGACGGCGAGACCTTCTTCTCCAGCAAACGGAGGCTTCTCACCACCTCCGGCGGAATGCTACCATCGGCCCGGCAACAAACAGAATAAACCAGTGATCTCAACGCCCAAGCTCGCCAATGGTCTGCTGCGCACCATCGGAAGAAGCTCACCGCAGACCTCACCTCGGCAGAAATTCAACTTGATGGAGCAGACGATGGTAATTTCCAGATTCTTCTCTCGCCAATTGAGAGCGGATATGGATCTTCATCACCAACTGAAGTAATTTTGGTGTGATTGCTCCCAACAAATTTCCCTGCAGAACACCAAAAGAAAGAAAGAAAAAGCAACAGTAAAGAGAAAGAAGAGAAGAGTTACCTGCTGATTTTTTTTGTCTCCTCTTCCGAAAGCTCCAATCAGATTCTAATGTTTCTTGTAATGTTTGAATACTTTGAATACGGAGAAGAGAAGAGTTGATGTTTTATAATTAAAATAGTAATAGTGTTTGAAGAGGATACAAAGTGCAAGATCAAAGTCCTAATAGGATTTGAAGGATGACGGAAATTAGGAATTCTAATTCTAATACCCCGTAAATTGATTAGATCATGATGGCAAATTATAAGTTGGCTATTGATCAGAATTTGAGTGGTTATATACTGATAGTTCGTATATGTTGGCCATCCAAAATTCAATTCATGCGTCTGATTGATTAAACTTTTCTTTAAGCAACAAATGAATATTGGGCTGATCATGTAGGGTCGAGACTTACTCTTCCTTCAAATACATACACAAGCAAGTCTCGAGGGGACATTTGTGAACATATAAAAATTACTGGGCCAACTATGATAGCTATTGAGCTCTAAAAAGCTACCGGGCTATATTATTTGCTAGTGGGCCACTGTCGGATTATGTTGGGTCGCTCGTGATGGTTGTTGGGTTTTATAAAAAATATTAATATGAACCCATTCGAATAAAATTTAATAATTGAATTAATTTGGATCATTAAAAAAAATACCCAATTGATTTACTTATAAATTAAATCTTGTAAAGAATGGATCGATCCTATTAATTTTGAGCCCACTATCAAATATTGGCTCAATATATAAGAGACATGATCCAATTTATGAAGAGGAGAACGAATCTAGTCAAGAAATCAGTCTATGTGCATGAGAAATGGCTGCGAACCTTGTTAAAAAGGCTCTCCAGATACATCGAATAAGTGCTGATTTTTCTAGCTACTAAATGCAAGCAAATAGAGCCCAAAGCCCATTTTAATCAGGGCCCTAAGCATATGAACGAATTTCACAACCCTAAAAGCATATTTTACCCCCTCCACACCTATAAATAGGGGTCTCAGTTGAGAGAAAGAAGGAGGAGAATTTTCAGACGAAGAAACGTTGCAGAAAAGCTCTCAAGAACTCCCGTAAGGCTCTGAACGATTCCGAAGAAGAGGAATAGATCAAGCCACGATTTTTGTTAAGAATATACGAATAATCCTTCATGATTTCGTCGATTCTTAATAAAATAAATCCAAAAGTTGAAGAACGTTCGAAGATCTGAAGAACGAAGCTTGAAGATTCGAAGATCTGAAGAACAAGACTTTGAAGATTTGAAGATATGAAGAACGAAACTTTGAAGATTTGAAGATATTCATATTAAGATTGAATCAAGATTCAATTGAAGATAAAGCCGCATATCCCGGGAGGCTCTTAAACAGAAGATCAAGCCACAAAACGGCCCTTTTGTTGAAGATCAAGTCATTAGAAAACCGGGGGCCCTTCAAGCTGAATTCTTAATTCAAGAATATTTGAAGATTCAAAGAACGAAGATTCGAAGATTGAAAGAACAAAACTTTGAAGGTTTGAAGATACGAAGATCGAAGGTTCGAAGATTTGAAGATCTGACGAACGTTCGAATATTTGAAGAATTAAAGATTTAATTTTGAATTAATTTCTTTAATTATATTTAATGCAAATTGCAAGTGAAGAATCAGAGGATTCATATTTAGAGATTGTACCCAATATTCTCACATATAATTATTTGCAATCAATTTTAAGTGAATACTTAAAATTTGTTTCGCAACATCCATGGCCTCATCCGATTAAATTTGCTTCTCCATTATTTGCGTCATATAATACTCGTGATTTTGCTCCCTGATTTTGCTCTTTCTCTTAATCATTCGTTTCTTCAGTTTCTTCTGAAATGTGATGTTAGAGCTCTGGTGATTCTGAGGAGACATGAACGGAGCTTTATGACTCAACCACTCATTCTCTTCCCCGTTCTCATCTAATTCCTTTGTTCTTCTTTTCCGCTCATCCATCCACACCATCTCCTCTTCTTCTCTCTTCTTCACCCAAAAGTCCGCTCCAATTCAACCGGCACCGGAAACACCTCATGCACTTTGCATGGAAGATTGCTTCTTCCGAAGTCCACTTCAATTCCGTGTTATTCGTCCAATTTAGGGAAATGGACCGTCTCAATGTCTTTGCCTTATCTTCTCTTCTTCACCCGGATGTCCACTCCAATTCAACTGCCACTGAGGAACACCTCCTGGGACTCCCGCCCCAAAATAAGGTTTGATTACACTTTGATCAATAGTATTTTTTTTATTCATTTCAATTGTTTGGGACACAATAAATGACTATTATATTGATCATTATATTATTAATTGGATTCTGATTACTTTTAGTCATTTTGAACATGTACTTCTCAAATGCCTAAATCTAAACCAGTTCGGTTTTTGTTATATGATGTCACACCTATCATTTTTTCGCTATGATGAACCTGTTTAAAAAACTAATGTCTTCTTCTTCAGTTTGATCTTTTAAAAAAATTGATTGCTTCTTCATTCTATATTTTCGGATAACTTTGGCACACATATACTCTGTATAAAATTGTTTATATGACATTGATGATTTTGTTAATCAATTAGTTGGTTTCACCTCCTGAGTTTGTCTTTTATTTCCTCATATTCCCCATTAGGGCAGATCTTTTGGCCATTTTCTGTTGCAATTTCTATGCTAAATTTAAAGAAAGGAGGTCAAACAAGCAAGGAGGTCACTTGGTGCCTTCCTTACATAGCCATTCACAGCAATTCTATGGAGAAACATCTCATCCCAAGACTTCAAACAATTCCCCTTAGGTCAGCGTTATGTTTTTACTTAACATTTTGCATAAATGATTGTAACTTCACACCCATATTGTATACTTGAACATCTCCAAGTTCAGTCCCTTTGTATTTCTTTCTTGATTTTTTTTAGAATTATTTAATTTATGCACTTACTTCTAAAAAATTAGTCTGAATTTAAATAAATACTTTGTTTGGAACATGTTTGTTAAAATTCTTCAATCAAACATCTCTTGCTAAAATTTCACACATGTCTGCTATTGGTTTTAGTATATTTTGGTGTTTGGAGTAACTTTCACTTTTAGAATGGCATTTGAGATTATGTTTGATAAATATAAAAATTATGGAATATGTCCAAGTATACATTGTCAAATCTAAAAAAAGAAATATTAGGATATTGGTTTATGCCATTCCTCTTAGCACTCAAACTAACATTCACGTGAAATAAGGTCTTATCCAAGTGAAAGTTATAATAAAGTGGTAGTTGCAGTATAATTGAGTGTATTTGTTTTATTAGGTTCAACTATATTCATATCAATAGATTCATTTCCAATTTCTAAAAGGATTTACTAAGTATCTTCATTTCTAAGATTTAAATGCATTAGGGTTGAACTCAATCATGAATCATCTCTAAACTGCCTACTGTACTATTGTCTACTATTTAAACTTCAAGTGGTGGTACCTTGGAATTGGCTTTGTTTGATTTATTACCTTTCTTATATGCCCACAATCAAATGTTCATAAAGCATATATTGATAGGTGTTTTGTGTTGTGTCCTTATGTTTGATATAGCATATATATGGTTATTAGGTTAGTTGAATAGATATTCTAATTCTGCAGTTCTAACAAATCTAGCTTTGGTATTAAAAACTTGTAAGAACTAAAAGCCTAATGGGATTATATAAAACCTAAAAACCTAAGCCTTATGTGATTTCTACTACTAATCAATTCTAGAGTGAATATAATTGTCACACACATATCAGCAGTTTCATCTTATATCTAATTGTGCCATTTTATTTATATCATCCAATTGGTTTGCACCTGAGACATCTTTAAAGTTAGGTGATCTGGATTCTGGACTCACTGGACATAACACAACCAATGCATTTGATGTTCAATAACGAAACGATACTAATGAAATAGTAACAGGAAACTCAAATATACAATAAGGTGTATAATTGTATAATCTGTACAAACTCATAGTTTTATTCAATAAGCAAAGCATTCAAATCTTTTTAAAGGATGCAAACTAAATCATGATAGAATGATTTTAAAATACATTCAAATTCCCCTAACTAATAAACCTTGATAGCTAGATACCAGCCTCCTCTTAACTAATCGATACCAGCATATATTGGTTTTATTACCAGCATCCATGAAATTGAATCTGCGTTTGATTGATCACCATACGGAATGCCAATGTAATGAATGGCCTACCATGGGATAAATGGAAGACGAACTTTAGTAAGCTCCAATATCCGTTGCTCACAGGAAAACACTATAGTGGTAATACGCTTGACCCATATCTTTGTTGTATGGCAATTAGAAAGTGCAGGGAGATAGCTAGAGGGCCAAATTGCCAAAATCAATATATGTATTTTTGTGCGTAATGGAATCAGACTCCTAATTGGAGTGAATATCATTTAAGTTCTAACTAATAGTATATAAACTGAATTAATATTTTGGTAGTCATAGTTTTACTTTTTGTAAATCTATTTGTTTGCTAAAGGGATATAAACCTTACTGCAATGATCGTTGCAATATTCCCTATTTGAAAAATCAGTCCTTAATTACTAACACTTCATTACACTTTCATAGTTTAACCATATCAGACATTAGTTATGTAACCTTATCAAGACATCGATGATGAAGAGACAAATCAAAACCATCATGTTTTAATTACTAACACTTCATTATGCTTTCATAGTTTCATGTTAGGTGCTAAGTAAGAAATTTCATCTTACTCAACTAAATGGTTGAAAGGTTGTGCGGCAAAGCTAATTGGCTATTCGAGCAGGGGCCAGTGAATTGAGATTCTGGCAAGTAAAAGGAGTGGTCCAGGCACGAGGATTTTACTATGATCTATAGTGAGTAGTGAAGACTCAGAAGAAGACCTCTTTCACTCTCTGCAGGAAGTTATTGTACACATCTTTTTTATTTTTATAATAACAAGTCATTAGTTGGTTGGAGAGGTAACCATGCCGATGGTCTTTTAGATTTTATGGTGGTGATATGAGGGCATTCAAATTACATTTCCTCATGGGATGTAGTTTTCCTAAATGTTTAGATATTTCTTCACAAATGTAATATAAGTACTTGCTTTTGACGTGTTTTTTATTATAATAATTTATGAATGAAGACTGTATTTTATCAATATTAGGACATTTGATCTGTTACTGCCATAGCAATGTTGAGGCTATACGAACATGCACAATTGAAAAATAAGATAGCTATGAGTAGGGGTGGACCCACTCCACGGTCCCGGAGCAGTCATGCCAGAAACGGCCAATCCCCAGTCCCTGGAACGGGATCCAATCCTTTATTTTTGGTTCAGATCGAAGACAGGTTTCAGACCCGTCCCTACTGGCACAAGTCATGTTTAGTATTTTTGAAGACCGACACCGTTTTTTTTTTTTGCATTTCAAGGTTATAAGAATTTTAGAAGATGTATAAAATTCCATTTAAATGCTAAAACGTAGGGAGGGGCGTTAAGAGGAACTAAGAATAAAAATACATATTCCAACTTTCATAATTCTACCTATTATATATTTATGTGAGTGCAGACTTTGTAAGAATTAAGAAGTGATTATTTTTTGGGTTGAATAATTGACTAAAATGGCAGGATAGGGTTGGATCAGCTAGAAATGCTTCAACAATTTGTAATGTGTAGTGTTTATTAAATTTTAATGTTTGTTATTATTTATTTACGATGTCTTTCATTCATGCAATTAAAAAAAATCTCCTATATAATTGTATTTATATAATATAAACATATTACATCCCGTGCAACACACGGGTGAAATACTAGTAACTTTTAAAAGATAGCAATACCTTGAAAGTGTACCTCATATATACACTTTTGCAAAAAGATTCCAAACCCATTTGTAATAAATCAGAATATAAATATGAATACAAATCAATTTTTTGGTTCAAATGTCTTTTAAATACGATACAAATAATTATGTATTCGATTTGAAGAATAAAATTAGAGTTGTTTGACTTTGATATATACAATCATCAACTTATTTCACACATTATAAGTATAATTTCTAATATGTGTGTGTTAGTGTTTATTTCAAAAGGTTTGAAATAGATTTATATTTATTAATCATAAAATTAATTCACTTTAGTATATTGTGAACCATCTAAAAATGCATTGATCCATTAAATTTAAATTCTAAAAACACATATTAAGTCATAGCATGCATTTACAACATAAAAAATACGGAGTATAAGAAAAGTTATTCTAGAGTGATATTTGACTAATATTTAACCTATGCTCAAATTGAATCGATATTCGTATATGATTCGTTAACTATTCGTATTGTTAAACAAATACAAATACAAATCGAAATTAATATTCGTTTCATATTTGAATTCGAATGCGTATTCGAAAAAATTAAACAAATACAAATACAAAATCTCATTATTCGATTCAATTCGGTTCGTTTACAACCCTATTTAGGATTATAAAATTATGTGTCCTTTGGTTTATTAATTAACATAAAAAAGTTTGTTATGATTGGTCTTTCTTAGCAATAATATCTTTTAACTCCTTTATTTTAGAGTAAAGACAAGCATGTTCCCTACCACGTTCTTCAAAACAGTTAATAGCTTCAGAACATTTGCGCTTGTTTTCATCTCGATCATTATTTAAGTCACAGACAGTTTTCTTAAGTTAAGCTACCTCAGATTCTAAGCTAGTGACTTTATCTTGTGAATTCTTTAAGCGTACACCAGGACGTGCTTCCTGTTCTATATTTCTTTCCAGATAACTTTGATTATTAGCAAGTATATCTTCAAGTTCCTTTATTTTATTTATTTCTTGTTTCAAAGAAGAAATATGCTCATTAATTTTAGTGCATTGCTTGGTAATTAAAGAGTTTAGATTACTTAACTCATTCTCAACAGATGGAGAATTGTATCAGTACTTACCTAATCTTGTGTAGATTACTTTTCGGGTGAGCGAAAAGTATATCTCGAGCAGTAGAGGTGGATTCGGTTCGGGCCACTCGGCCCGTGACCCGGCCCGGCTCGCTACTGTGCGGGCCCGGGACCGTCCCGGTCTGGCGGTCCGGGACCGGGTGTAGACCCGAACTGGTGGGAATGGGCGGGGCGGGCACGGTTCCGGAAAAATGTGAACCGGCCCGGCCGGGTCTGGCCCGGGCCCGGGTCCGGGTCCAACGGTCCTATTTTTTTTAAAAAATGTTAAATAGTTACTAGCCGTTATGGCCTTGGGGGTGGGTTGGGGACAACCCAAACAGCTATATAGCCGTTGGGTGGGGTGCAGGGGGGTCCGGGGGGGTTGGGTGGTGGGGGGGGGGGGGGTAAAAAAACCTATAAATACTCCTAATCTTAAACATTTTTTCATATCTCTTCTCCAATTCTTCCTAAATTCTATTCTTAACTCTCTACTCTCTAATTCTCTTATTCTCCAATATATTATATTTATTATTTATAGTTTATATTAATTATCTACTTATAATTTATAAATACATACATTATAGTATTATATTACTTATATTTGTTATCTAATTATATATTACTTATATATTTATTATATCTATTAATATAGTTGGAATTATATCTAATTAATTTGAAGTCATTCTATTACTCCCATCCGAAAGACCGAAAGTCCGAAAGAGGTACGAAATTATTCTATTATTTACACTTGTTTAATTTTGTATTAACGTTACTTGAAAAAAAAACTAGTTAATTAGGTTGTACAATTTTCTATAACTCGAATTAATAGTTAGATTAATAGTTAATTTTTTTATTACAATTTTTTATTAATTGCTACATTTGACTCTAGTTTAAAAAACTTGTTGTAATTCTAATTATAGTTAAAGTTAAAGTGTATTAATTTCATTGTTAGTAAAAAACATAGGTTGTACACAAAACTAGTTAATTCACTAGTTAATTTGCTATAACTCGAATTAATAGTTAGATTAATAGTTAATTACTTTTTTACAATTTTTTATTAATTGCTACATTTGACTCTAGTTTAAAAAAATAGGTTGTACACAAAACTAGTTAATTCACTGGTTAATTTGCTATAACTCGAATTAATAGTTAGATAAATAGTTAATTACTTTTTTACAATTTTTTATTAATTGCTACATTTTTTAGATGGATCGTCCTAGATATTCGGTTGATATGGGTAACCTCGAGCGCAACCGAACGAAAGAGCTTGCGAGGAAGAGATCCCGCAAAGGTAAATCACATATCGGCTCTTCATCTCAAAGTCGAGATGATTTTGATACGGGTTACGCAAGGAGGGATGAGGATGCGATGACCGGCGAACAACTAGAACAAGAATTGCACCGACATAATTCCCGCTTTTTTTAAGACCAACCGAGGACCATTGACGAAGAAGAGCTCGAGGACGAGGATGACGATGTGGAGGAAGTAATTCCGGAGAGCCACGACAACGAGGAGGAGGAGGGTGGCAGCAGCTATGTCGCCGACCAACCTGCCTCATCCCAAACAGGTACAAAAAAAATAAATCTGAACTAATGGCTAATAATTTTTCTAAGTGGAAGGACCCGAACACCGGGAATTGGACCGCAACTTGCAATTGGTGCAAGAAAAACTATAGCTTGGGCATTTCCGGCGGATACGGATCCGCCACAAGACACCTTAAGTCCAAACACCCGGTGGAGTATGCAAAATTAGGCGGCGGAACGGGGAAGCAAACTCAAATATCGAGGTTTGCAAATAACCAACAAGCTTTTGGTAATTTCTCATACAATGATGCATAAAATTTGATAGGTATGACTAACTTACTTGTTGAAAAAAATCTGCCTTATTTGTTTTCTGAAAGTCTTGCTTTTCGTGATTATGCATAAACTTGTTTAAATCCGCAATATAGAGGTTATAGTCGCAAAACGGTTAAGAAAGAAATTTCAAGGCTTTATGGTGTGGAAAATGTAAGGTTACAAAATTATTTTGCAAACTTTGATGGACGTGTTACTGTATGTTCTGACATATGGGAGGATACTTATCATAATTTACATTATTTGGGTCTGACTGTACATTATATTGATAATGATTGGCATATGCATAAACGTGTTCTTGCTTTCCGTGAATTTAATGATCGTCACACCGCTGAACATATTTATATTTTGATTGAGCGTATTTTAATTGAGTATAATTTAATTGATAAGGTGTTTGCTATTGGTTTTGATAATGCTACTAATAATACTGCTGCTATTCCTAGATTGCGTGAATTGTGTGGTTCTACTTCTTTGATGTGTAGATTTTTCATCAACGATGTGCATGTCATGTTCTAAATTTATGTGTGCAAGATGGTCTAAAAGCGTTGGGAGCATCGTTGGAGGTAGTCAAGGGGGGGGGATTAGGCGTATTTGGGGTAATGGACAACTTAGGAAAAAATGGCATGATTATTTGATAGAAAGAGGTGAGAGATATGTGGCTTTTCCTAAAGATTTGTCTATTCGTTGGAATAGTACCTATAAGTTAATTGGAGTTCTTCTTAGATATAAACAACATTTTCCTGCTTTTATGAAACAATATGATAACTATATTATAAACTCGGCTGAGATCGACACCTGTGAAAAAATTTGTAATGCTTTGATATATTTTAAAGAAATTATATTAAATGGGACTAAAACATGGTTAAAACTCCACAATAGGACTTCAAGTTTTAAATTTCCTAAATGGGACTCCACATTACCTTTTTGCCCCTAATCCCTAAATCACATTTTCCCCAAATCCCTCTGCATCGCTCGATCGCAGCTCAACCGTTCGCAGCTCAACTGTTCGCAACTCGATCGCAGCTCAACCTCCATCGATCGCAAGTTCGCAACTCGACGCTGGCCTATCATCGCAGCTGCCTGCTCGACGCCGGACGCCATCTCCATCAAAATCAGGTATTCTTCTCCTTCTCCTTCTTCTTCTTCTTCTTCTTCTTCTTCTTTTTTCTTCTTCTCATCCATCTCCTTCTCCTTCTTGTTCTTCTTCTTCTTGCTCTTCTTCTTCTCCTTTTGTAAATGTCATCTTTCTATTCCAAAATGCCAACATTATTTTAACATTATTTTATTGAACACTCATTTGGAAAAAATGTCACTTTTTTGACATTACATTTACCAAGATGACAGTTTTTATTTGACATTTATAAAGAGTAAAA